CGAAGGGTGAGGACGTAGGGGAGCCCTGAAAGGAAGAATAGCGGACCACTAGGCACCAGGGGCGCCATAGTGAAAGTAGTTTTCTGACCGTCGGTTACAAGTGGTCCGGTAAAGTACAATCTTACCCCACCTCAGTCCAGGTTGGCCCTAACAGGCAAGGTGGAAGCCTGCCTCCTAAATGACCTAAATTGTATCGGTGGGGTGTAGTACACCTACATTTTTTAAAAGTCTACTGAGTTGCTAGACTTGATGGACCAAGGTTGTTTAATAGAATAGGATAGGCCTATTTGGAGTCTTTAGATTTATATTTTGTGGCATGTGATGGTATTTGTTAGTAGTACATCTTGTTCTATTCTTCTTTTGGATGAAGCAAAAATCTCTTTTGCCTTTCTACTGGCACTGCTATTAGATCTAGATCTACTAACGTAAAATATTGCGTCCTAAATCAGGGCAAGTCTTAAATCTTGATACGTGTATTCTAATGAGCTACACAGACCTGCATGCCTACTGTACTACATACATTTAATCAATCACCTTGCTTTGTTTTCTCTATATCATTCACAATGTATGGTATGGTGGATGATTGTATGATAATAAATTATTTTTTAATTAAGTTAGCTTTGTCCATCCGGAGGGATGACAACACTGACGTACGCTGACTAAGCACCTTTTTTTCCAAATAAAGTTCACAGTTTTGAGATAAAGAGGCTTTTTGTCCGAATGACCGTTTAAAAATTGTAGTTGTTCTTCCGAAATTTGAATTCTAATTTAGTAAAAAACTAGTCACAGTTTCACTTTGATTTTTTTTTTTCACACAGCAGATATGCTTTGATTAGGCTTTCGATTTTGTAGAAGAAAAAAAAATTTAGCCAAAGATGAAGAAAGGCGTTTTGTCAGCTTACGGCAGTTTAGTTTTTCTTGCATGTAATGGACTGTTGTGCTTCTTTGAAAATAGATAGAGATAGATTAGACTGGGACAACTCTGTGGCCCCACTCACTTCCTGACGGCTGCCAATATATTGTTCATGTATGAGAAGGAATCAATCTTAAAATAAAGAATAGACTGTTCTTCTACACCCC